AATTATTTAAAAATTTTAAAATTTGTAACAGTTTTCTTACATTTAACATGAAAATTGACTCTATATTATCATTTTTAATTTTAATTAAGTGCCAAAACTACTAAAAATAGCAATATTTTGAAGTTAATTCATTATGTTGTATGCATTGCACCGGGGCGGGTCATATATTGTGTGGTCATTTTATAGTTTAAACATTGAAATACGCTTTTGTAATTAGGTTTTGCCCAAAAATTCATCAGCAAAATTAATAAAACTTTCAACTGATCATGGTTTTGATTCAATTTAAGGTTCAAAATTAAATTTAATTTCAAATTTAAATTTTGAATTTTATAAAAATTTTAAAATTTGTAATAGTTTTCTTACATTTAACAAGAAAATTGGTTCTAAATTATCAATTTTAATTTTAATTAAATGTCAAAACTGTTAAAATAGCAATATTTGAAGTTAATTCATTATGTTTTATGCATTGCACAGGGCGGGTCATATATAGTTGGTCATTTTATAGTTTAAACATTGAAATACGCTTTTGTAATTAGGTTTTGCCCAAAAATTCATCAGCAAAATTAATAAAACTTTCAACTGATCATGGTTTTGATTCAATTTAAGGTTCAAAATTAAATTTAATTTCAAATTTAAATTTTGAATTTTATAAAAATTTTAAAATTTGTAATCTTACATTTAACAAGAAAATTGGTTCTAAATTATCAATTTTAATTTTAATTAAGTGCCAAAACTGCTAAATATAGCAATATTTTGAAGTGAATTCATTATGTCATATACATTGCAGCAGTGCGGGAAAAATATGATGTGGTCATTTTATAGTTTAAATATTAAAATACGCTTTTGTAATTAAGTTTTGCGCAAGAATTCATCAGCAAAATTAATAAAACTTTCAATTAATAATGGTTTTAATTCAAATTTAAGGTTCAAAATTAAATTTAGTTTCAAATTAAAATTTTGAATTTTATAAAAATTTTAAAATTTGTAATAGTTTTCTTACATTTAACAAGAAAATTGGTTCTAAATTATCAATTTTAATTTTAATTATGTGTCAAAACTGCTAAAAATAGCAATATTTTGAAGTTAATTCATTATGAAGTATGCATTGCACCGGGGCGGGTCATATATGGTTGGTCATTTTATAGTTTAAATATTAAATATGCTTTTATAATTAAGTTTTGCCCAAAAATTCAGCCAAATTAATAAAACTTTCAATTAATAATGGTCTTAATTCAATCTAAGAATTAAAATTAAATTTAATTTCAAATTTAAATTTTGATTTATTTAAAAATTTTAAAATTTGTAATAGTTTTCTTACATTTAACAAGAAAATTGGTTCTAAATTATCAATTTTAATTTTAATTAAGTGCCAAAACTGCTAAAAATAGCAATATTTTGAAGTTAATTCATTATGTTGTATGCATTGCACCGGGGCGGGTCATATATAGTGTGGTCATTTTATAGTTTAAACATTGAAATACGCTTTTGTAATTAGGTTTTGCCCAAAAATTCATCAGCAAAATTAATAAAACTTTCAACTGATCATGGTTTTGATTCAATTTAAGGTTCAAAATTAAATTTAATTTCAAATTTAAATTTTGAATTTTATAAAAATTTTAAAATTTGTAATAGTTTTCTTACATTTAACAAGAAAATTGGTTCTAAATTATCAATTTTAATTTTAATTAAATGTCAAAACTGTTAAAATAGCAATATTTGAAGTTAATTCATTATGTTTTATGCGTTGCACCGGGGCGGGTCATATATAGTTGGTCATTTTATAGTTTAAACATTGAAATACGCTTTTGTAATTAGGTTTTGCCCAAAAATTCATCAGCAAAATTAATAAAACTTTCAACTGATCATGGTTTTGATTCAATTTAAGGTTCAAAATTAAATTTAATTTCAAATTTAAATTTTGAATTTTATAAAAATTTTAAAATTTGTAATCTTACATTTAACAAGAAAATTGGTTCTAAATTATCAATTTTAATTTTAATTAAGTGCCAAAACTGCTAAATATAGCAGAATTTTGAAGTGAATTCATTATGTCATATACATTGCAGCAGTGCGGGAAAAATATGATGTGGTCATTTTATGGTTTAAATATTAAAATACGCTTTTGTAATTAAGTTTTGCGCAAGAATTCATCAGCAAAATTAATAAAACTTTCAATTAATAATGGTTTTAATTCAAATTTAAGGTTCAAAATTAAATTTAGTTTCAAATTAAAATTTTGAATTTTATAAAAATTTTAAAATTTGTGATAGTTTTCTTACATTTAACAAGAAAATTGGTTCTACATTATCAATTTTAATTTTAATTATGTGTCAAAACTGCTAAAAATAGCAATATTTTGAAGTTAATTCATTATGAAGTATGCATTGCACCGGGGCGGGTCATATATGGTTGGTCATTTTATAGTTTAAATACTAAATATGCTTTTATATTAAAGTTTTGCCCAAAAATTCAGCCAAATTAATAAAACTTTCAATTAATAATGGTCTTAATTCAATTTAAGAATTAAAATTAAATTTAATTTCAAATTTAAATTTTGAATTATTTAAAAATTATAAAATTTGTAATAGTTTTCTTACATTTAACATGAAAGTTGGTTCTAAATTATCATTTTTTAATTTAATTGAATGCCAAAACTACTAAAAATAGCAATATTTTGAAGTTAATTCATTATGTTGTATGCATTGCACCGGGGCGGGTCATATATAGTGTGGTCATTTTATAGTTTAAACATTGAAATACGCTTTTGTAATTAGGTTTTGCCCAAAAATTCATCAGCAAAATTAATAAAACTTTCAACTGATCATGGTTTTGATTCAATTTAAGGTTCAAAATTAAATTTAATTTCAAATTTAAATTTTGAATTTTATAAAAATTTTAAAATTTGTAATAGTTTTCTTACATTTAACAAGAAAATTGGTTCTAAATTATCAATTTTAATTTTAATTAAATGTCAAAACTGTTAAAATAGCAATATTTGAAGTTAATTCATTATGTTATATGCGTTGCACCGGGGCGGGTCATATATAGTTGGTCATTTTATAGTTTAAATATTAAAATATGCTTTTATAATTAAGTTTTGCGCAAGAATTCATCAGCAAAATTAATAAAACTTTCAATTAATAATGGTTTTAATTCAAATTTAAGGTTCAAAATTAAATTTAGTTTCAAATTAAAATTTTGAATTTTATAAAAATTTTAAAATTTGTGATAGTTTTCTTACATTTAACAAGAAAATTGGTTCTACATTATCAATTTTAATTTTAATTATGTGTCAAAACTGCTAAAAATAGCAATATTTTGAAGTTAATTCATTATGAAGTATGCATTGCACCGGGGCGGGTCATATATGGTTGGTCATTTTATAGTTTAAATACTAAATATGCTTTTATATTTAAGTTTTGCGCAAAAATTCAGCCAAATTAATAAAACTTTCAATTAATAATGGTCTTAATTCAATTTAAGGATTAAAATTAAATTTAATTTCAAATTTAAATTTTGAATTATTTAAAAATTTTAAAATTTGTAACAGTTTTCTTACATTTAACATGAAAATTGACTCTAAATTATCATTTTTAATTTTAATTAAATGTCGAAACTGTTAAAATAGCAATATTTTGAAGTTAATTCATTATGTCATATACATTGCACTAGTGCGGGAAAAATATGATGTGGTCATTTTATGGTTTAAATATTAAAATACGCTTTTGTAATTAAGTTTTGCGCAAAAATTCATCAGCCAAATTAATAAAACTTTCAATTAATAATGGTCTTAATTCAATCTAAGAATTAAAATTAAATTTAATTTCAAATTTAAATTTTGATTTATTTAAAAATTTTAAAATTTGTAATAGTTTTCTTACATTTAACAAGAAAATTGGTTCTAAATTATCAATTTTAATTTTAATTAAGTGCCAAAACTGCTAAAAATAGCAATATTTTGAAGTTAATTCATTATGTTGTATGCATTGCACCGGGGCGGGTCATATATAGTGTGGTCATTTTATAGTTTAAACATTGAAATACGCTTTTGTAATTAGGTTTTGCCCAAAAATTCATCAGCAAAATTAATAAAACTTTCAACTGATCATGGTTTTGATTCAATTTAAGGTTCAAAATTAAATTTAATTTCAAATTAAAATTTTGAATTTTATAAAAATTTTAAAATTTGTGATAGTTTTCTTACATTTAACAAGAAAATTGGTTCTACATTATCAATTTTAATTTTAATTAAATGTCAAAACTGTTAAAATAGCAATATTTGAAGTTAATTCATTATGTTATATGCGTTGCACCGGGGCGGGTCATATATAGTTGGTCATTTTATAGTTTAAATATTAAAATATGCTTTTATAATTAAGTTTTGCGCAAGAATTCATCAGCAAAATTAATAAAACTTTCAATTAATAATGGTTTTAATTCAATTTAATGTTCAAAAATAAATTTAATTTCAAATAAAAATTTTGAATTTTTCAAAAATTTTAAAATTTGTAATAGTTTTTGTATATTAAACAAGGAAATTGGTTCTAGATTATCAATTTTAGTTTTAATTAAGTGCTGAATCTGTTAAAAATACCAATTAATTTAAAGAAGAATTGATGTTTATGGCCTAGCTGATTTTGAAATCCTGTTTGTCAGTATGTAACACTGGAATTTAGAAATTTTTTTTGATCAAATTCTGAAAGCAAAAAAAATATAATTGTTACTTGATGAACGATAAACAATATCCTCTTTTGCGTATTCATGCAAAGGATACATTCTCTCTCCCCACTCACTTCTACTAAGGTATGTTTGTTGGTTGGGTTCCCCTTTTGAAGGATTATTCTTGGAAGGGGGGCATACAATTTTTTTCTGGTCCCTAGAGGGAGCAATAATTCTCTTTTGTTTTTTGCCAATGATCGCACTTTTTTTAGTGATGGAGTTCCCCCTCTCAAACTTGTGAACGAATATCCCCTCTTCCACATCCTTGTAATTTAGCAGTGTGGTCCTGGCGAGAATCGAAGTCGAACCTGCTGATTAGAGGCAAGCTGCTCTACCGGCTGAGCTATGCATCAACTGGCCAATCCCACTCGTTTTCAGCTATATTAAACAGTAACATAGATTTTATTAATAAATTAACCAATAGTTGTTACAATATTAATAGCTGCAAACTTATCGAGAGATTTTAATGAGTGAAAAAAATATACTTTTAAGATAGCAAAAAGTACCCCAATAGAAACTGATGGTGAAAAGTGTTACAAGGTAAAATTAGTAGGGGAAAATCTTGGATAGATAGAGCAAAAAGAATTATGCTACACATTATAAAAATAATATACATACAAATCAAATTTTCTATTATTCTCTCGAAGATCTGTGTCCAACATGATACATAATGTGGCAGGTATGTAAACCAATCGTAACTAGTATAATATAAAATTAGAATAGTCAAATACCATCTAAAGCTTGTTAGCAAGTGGAGTATCTAACTTTTATTGGGAGATAAATATTAAAACAAAAATTCCGTCAAAACTCACAAAGCCCACTTGACATTATATTCCAATCTTGCGAACCTGTAATTATTGAAAATCTGACAGATATCCAAATCGAAAGTTTACCAAATCCAAACTAATCATCATTTAAAGATTCTTACAAAAGATCTTAATAGCTACCAACTTCAATCCCCGGTAGAACATCTAACTGATGGTCAACTCGAAATTTTAATAGGCCACTTAACTAATCACCATTTACAAACTATTGCTCAGGAATTACTGTTAGCAAAAGTCCGAAGTTTTTCTGGTTTAGTGGTTAGATAATCAATTATGACTCCAATTCTGGCATGACTGAGCTATACAAAATTACTATATATATTGCTGTACTATCTATTTCACTGTTTAATATGGCTGAAAACGGCTGGGATTGCTCAGTTAGTGCATAGTTTAGCCGGTAGAGCAGCTGGCCTTTAATCAGTAGGTTGAGCGTTCGATTCTCGCCAGGACCACACTACTAAATTACAAGGATGTGGAAGAGGAGATATTCGTTCACAAGTTTGAGAGGGGGAACTACATCACTGAAAAAAAAAGTGCGATCATTGGCAAACAACAAAAGAGAATTATTGGTCCCTCTAGGGACCAGAAAAAAAATTGCTGATAAAGTAAGAATGAGGGGGATGAGCGCAGGATTTTCTACTGGTCTTAATTATATGCCCCCCCTCCAAGAATAATCCTTCAAAAGGGAAACCCAACCAACAACATACTTTAGTAGAAGTGAATGGGAAGAGAATGTGTATTCGTAGCATAAATACGCAAAAAAGGCTTTCATCATTCATTGAGTAACATTCTTTTTCTGTTTTTCTGATTAAGAATTTGATCATAAAAAATTTCTAAATTCCAGTGTTACGTATAGACAAACAGGATTTCAAAATAAATCTCTTTTTAATCTAAATGAAATACAGTAACCAAGTGTTTATGTAGGTTCTAATGAGCAGTTTACTTTTAGTTTATACAACTTTTTGAAATGTGAAAAAGTGTTTCTGAAAAATTATTAAACAAGAAATTAATTACATGTGCAAATATATTTTCTAAAGTGAAATTCTCTTTATTTGTGAGAAAGCGAACTAATAGTGGTTATGAACTAATAGCAATTATGAACCAAATTTAATTTTCAAACTTAATTTTAATTAATCAATTTTAATTTTAATTAACTGCTGAATTTGCTAAAAATAGCAATTCATTTAAGAAAAGATTTATTTTTTGAACTTTTTGAACTTGAAAAGATTTATCTCTTGAACTTAATTTTGAACTTAATTCATTTTTTGAACTTAATTGATTATTTCATATGCATTGCACCAGAGCTGGTCATATATGGTGTGGTCATCTTATAGTTTAAATATTAAAATACGCTTTTATAATTGAGTTTTGCGCAAAAATTGATCAGCAAAATTAATAAAACTTTCAACTAATCATGGTTTTAATTCAATTTAAAAATTAAATTTAATTTCAAATTTAAATTTTGAATTTTTTAAAAATTTTGAAATTAGTAATAGTTTTCTTACATTAAACAAGGAAATTGGTTCTAAATAATCAATTTTTATTTTAATTAAGTGCCAAAACTACTAAAAATAGCAATATTTTGAACTTAATTGATTATGTTGTATGCATTGCACGAGAGCGGGTCATATATGGTGTGGTAGTTTGAGCACTACTAGAAATATTGTTGAAATAATTAAATTACATCTGTTATATTTAATTATATGCTCAATTACTGAAATGTGGGAATTGTTTAAAATTTGTTTCCAAATATAGCATAAATGATTAGATTTATTATATTTTAGATAATTAAACTAGTATAGCGCTTTAAATGATTGTAAATAATGTTAAGTAATATTAATTATTCAGTTTCGTTCGAAACATAGAAAAGTACAATTTTAATTTTCTTTTTTCTTTTCCTAGCACTACCTATAATTTTTAGACATGATTTATAGTACTTTAAACTCAGCATTTTTACCCTTCTTTTGAACTTCCATATATTCGAATATGGTATTTGTATTCAAGTTTTCGATTTAAAAAAATTCTACCCTAATATTTTAATATTCATTTGAAATGTCATATGACTTCGATTTTTTTCGTTTAAATTAACTCTTAAAAGTTCTAAAAATTTTTATAAAAGCTCATAAATGAGTACTTTCTTAGGAAGACCATTATTTATCAATCACTTGAAATTTCAAATTGATATTTTCTTAGTACTTTTTTACGTGATAATGGTGGTGGAATTTCATTGGTGGTGAGAAACCTAATGGAGAAAATTCTGAACTATCGCTAGAAAAAAAGAAAAATAAAGAATTAATAGAACGAAATGAGGAGTTGTACATTCAAGGTCTTTTTTTACATAATGCTGCTGGGAAATTCCTAGGATCTCAATGTAGAAAAAGTTTAATAGATAAGAAGCACAATCCTGCATCATTACCTGGTATAATACCTGCTAGAGGGAATACTAACAATAACCCTATCACTTTTCTTCTATTGGATAGTAGTACATCAACACCTAATGACAGTGTGGCACAGTAAGCTGCAGCTCAAGTTAATCGACGAGATGAAACTACTTACAGGTTAAAGAATTAGCAAATGCAATAAGTGAAGTTATAAAAGATTTGGAGGGCATCACTTACGTACCAAATAATAATATAAGCTTGATTATATCAACCAAGTTAATAATAGCTGTGAACCAGGGGTATGATAAAAGTAAGCAGTGCAACTTCCGTTGTTAGATGTGTATCTGGTGGTTGGAGCTTATGCTAAATTCTCCATCTTATATTGAGGGTCAGATGCGATACCATATACTCTATTTGGAGGGGCAATTTTGTTTTCTATACCAAAAGTAATACCTTCAATTATTGCTATAAGTACTTTTTCAAGGTTACAATCTGCCCCGGGAACACGGTGTTCTAGACGGCACTTGCTGCCGAGACAGGAAATCCTTATTGCGGCAGTTCTATTGTTCACGCCCCAACTAATTGTAGTTGGTGTGTGAATATCTAGATATTGAAACCTTAAATATGAATCATCACTTGGAGCGAAGAATGACACATGTTCTTTCATCATAGCACATAACCCACCAATACGATAAATTAAGTAATCACTGTACTTTTGTTCATTACAGTAAAATAAATTACTGTTGTTTGAATCCACTAAATTAACATGCACATTTAATGCACTGCCTGCCCTATCTAAATAGGGCTTTGCTTTGAAAGAAGTATTTCCGCTAAGTTTTTCAGTAAGTAATTCTTTTGCTAAGTCAAAATGCTTGATTAAGTTATTAGAATCATTATAACAACCACTTTTTATCTCATATTGATGTATAGAACTCTCTTTCTTGTAGGAAAAACCAAGCAAAGCTATTTTAGTTTTAACACTATTAAGAAATAAATGCTCTCTCTTTATTTCTTCAGTATAAAATTCTAATTTAATGCCAAATTTAGTACAACAATTCAAATTATTTAATGTAATCACAGATTTGTTTCAGTAAATTCGCATTAAGTTATCTATCTTTATATGAATACTTTACTTTTTTACCAATAAATTTAATATATCATTTATACATAATATATTATAATTTTTTTAACAGTATGTTAGCAGTATGCTAATCCTTGACACGAGCGACGTTTTATTTATTGAAATAAAAATGATCAATTTTAGTGCTTCTATACCCTTTACTACTCATTGAAAATCACCATAATTTTTAGTGTGTATTAAGTAGTATTAGCTTTTCGCAGTAGGCTATCGATTATCTTATATTTTTCTAGCATTGCTTTTGTCTTGATGTAGTGTATGAGCTTAATTATTCCTACGGTTTCTGCTATGTTTTTCGATCAAATTGTACAGCAACAGATCATAATATTTCTTGAGAAAAAATCCAAAATCTCCTTTATAACCTTTATGGGGAAGCAACATATAACAGTTGGTTAAGTTCACTTAAATTTGTTAGTAGTAGCAATGGGGAAGTTTTGTTATCTGTGCCAACAAGATTTATAAAAGAGTGGATTACAGTTCACTACATGGAAAAAATATTATTATTATGGCAGAATGGAGATAAAAGTATATGTTCTATTGATATTCAAGTAACCGAAGAAAAGAATTCAAGTTCTAGCATCATATCAAAAAATAAAGAGGAAAGTGTTAATAATCTTGGTTAGCCACTAGAACCAAGATTTACCTTTAATAACTTCGTAGTGGGAAAGCCAAATGAATTAGCATTTACAGCCGCAAAGAGTCTCACTCTTTCTTCAAGCAATCGTTTATTTATTTTTTCTAATAACATTTTTTTCTTTTTTCATTCCAATACTTTCTTGAATTTTTGCATTGAAAATTTATCTATAATTAATAACGCACAATACTTCCGTGAGAAATTTATTTATCTTTATGAGATTACGAGCTATGATAGTGGTAGCGTATGCCTTTGCTTATATTAAGAGTCAAATAAAGTGACAGTCATCCTAGGAAGGGAACAATTCCAACCCAACCCGGTAAATGTCCTGCAAGGCCATCCATTTGGGAAATGATATTCTAAGTTACGACTTAAGAACGAGTCTGGCAGATGAATTATAATCGAAGTTTACAACATTTTCAGAAAATGAATATGAAACCAGTCTAATAAATGTACTGGCCAGAAATTATTTTTCAAAAAATGAATTGAATATCTCTGGGTTTATGATTCTTGGAATCGACAAAATAAGATTTGATCTAACTTCTAATTTATCTCCAATTGTAAAAAAACAGCAGCAATTAAATTTGTATCTAAAAATCAATTTCCAGTAAAGAAATAATATAATGACAACATTTGATTGGCTATATTATTTCTCGTAAAAAAGATTTATACGGCGAAACGGGAAAAAAGAGACTTTCCCTTAACTCATTTTTGAATTCTTGAAAGATGTAGAAATTTCCGTCGCGAAAGTTAATGAGTTTCTTATCATGATAAAAGCATTATTTCAAATAGATACTGCAATAAACATTTTGTATGGAAGAATATATGTTAAATTAAGACATATTTTCTGTCCTCAATCACAATACGCGATATTTTGTATCATGTTAAATGGAATTCTTTACCACACTGTGCAATATTTTCAATTTATATTATACGACAATTGCAACTGCGTTTATCAATTTTTTACACTCCTTAGCTTTATAATAAACAATTTCATTGAATATATCAAATCATAAATTCAATGAGCAAATTTAGATAAAATTTCAATGATTGCTTCCTTATGCTGCACTAAAATTTAAACATTAACTTCTGAATATTTCATAAACTAACTGTAAAAAGTGTCCAAAAGAATGAGAAAAGAAACCAAATTCATTAACTCTAATCACTGAGTTCATAAATTAGTAAAAATTTCTTTCGTTTTTCTTTTGCATCATTGGTATCTATAATACTTAATCAAAGTGATGGAAAGTAATAAATACAGCAATAATATTCATAGATCAAAATCCGATGTTGTATTGATTCGTTCGAAAACAATCCGTTGTATTGAGAAAAAGAACATTATTCTTAAGTGAGAATGCAGAATGCCAAAAACGTTGATTTTCCAAGAATGATTTTACCTAAAAAAACGTTGATTTTCCAAGAATGATTTTACCTAAAATTTTTAAAAATCAAAGAAAATTTGAAAAAGCGAACGGTATTTAAATGATGTTTTTTGAAAAAATGTTAATTTACCATAAGATAGCATATAAATGATAAATTAATTAAAATTGCGAAACGAAATGACAAACATCCATATTGGTATATATAAAATTAGGCATGATTAATTTTTTTTATTTTATAAATGCATTTTACTAAATACTCTCCTCAGCTTTACTTCCAATTTACTTGAATTTACATTATTTTTCATGCCTGGATTACCCATTATTTTGAAATTATAATTACTATTTGGATTAATTAATCATATGATATGATGATTACTATCTATTACCTCTTCTTTATACTTGTTTTCAAAATCAGGTGGATCACGAACAAGAACCATAATTGGATATTTGAGCGGCTGAGTTAAAATGATATAATCATACTGTTCGTTTTCATTAATTGGTCCACTACGTACTATCGAATCTGAAAAGTTATGATAATACTTTAAAATATAATAAACAATAAAAACTGATTGAACAATATAAGAAATTATATAAGTATTGAAATGGATATTTATGAATATGCATATTTATACTTACACATGCGGTACTTTTGTCAGTATTCAACTGAATTAGTAACAATAATATAATTACATTAACGTGAGCTTACGTCAAAGAAATTATTAACTTAAATCTTTACCAGAAATATTTACTCTTCATTGTTCTCTGTTTTAGTTTATTCAATATTTATTTCAAACTATTAGGTAATCTTTTGGCAAGAACTGAAAGCTTTACATGGACATGGATCAGCTGGATGGCCAATATTAATAAGTAGTTCTGCCGGATCCGGTCCTACTTTTCTCCCATATCCTTCCAAAATCTTAATCTTTTCTGTATTTTGCGAATACTGCCGTACCGTGAATATTGCAGTATAAGGGGTTTTATCCATTAATTCAACTAAAACGATGAACAAAATAGTATAAAAGGCTTTTTAATTTAAAAAAAATGAAACAAAAAATTGACTGTAAGAGAAACAAAACATACAATAAAATATTGGGCAGTGCTCATGATGAATACTCGGTGTATCAGCTACCTATAAATAAATTAAAATTTTCAGACTAATTTTTTAAATTTCCCTTTTTGAAAAGAAGAAAGGAAAGAAATAAATGATAATAGTGAAATTAAAAGTTATTCCCTGTAACGAAATCTACTTACCACAAACCATTTACCCATCAATTTGGTAACATTAATATCACCAACAGCTATATACAATGAATTGTACAGATTACTCGCAATATCATTTGCATCCATTTTTTGCAACAACTACAAAAAAATTATATTTTCGAAGAAAAAGAGAGCTCTGAAAGTATCATATTCCTTATCCTTCATAATAAATAATTAAAAAAAGTATAAATGCAAAAAACAAAGAGCTTTTTTTAACATTTGAAATTTTTTGGAAAAATCATCGAAATTTTGAAATTGGCTAGATTAAGGAAAAACAATTAAATAATAAAAGTTGTTTAATTAGCCAACTTTGCTTAATTGTTCAGTTATTGCTTTAGTTCGGTCATTTGGTGCACAAGATTTGGCGTAAAGTTCAAAAATTCGCATAGGTGGTACCGAACGACCAGGTACTGGTATGCCACCAAGATATTTAACTAAAATATTCATATTAGAAGATTTATGACATTAACCATATTTCTTTATATTAATAAAGAATTCAATTATATTAGTATAAACTTTGCGTCAAGAAATTTTAAATTTTATTGCATTAAAATTTTTCATTAACTAAGGTAATTTAGCCAGCCAACTTGAAATTAAATGAACAAGTCCTTTATTTATTAAATATCTTATGTATCTAATTTTTTATTATGAGTGGTTATTAGTATCAATACAATCATTCATTCAGTATTCGATGATAATATAACTACCGGAACTGATGGTTTGCTGCTTAACGATTTCCGGAATAACATACAGAACAGTGCAATTATTCAATTTTATTTGTCTGTCTTCTGCCTTCTCATTAATAATATAAATCAATTAGCTCATTGTGAGCAAGTCAACATATATGATGCAATAACAGCATTCTTTTCTTGACTTATTTGATTATAGATACATAATAATGATAAAATTACTATTACTGACAACAAATAATGAATAAAAGCAGGAAAAGAATAACTGTTATATAAGGAATAATTATAATTTAAATTAGTGATAATAATTAATTTGTTAAGAATTACCTGTGGAAGAAAACTTAAGCAAAAATAGAAAGAGAATAATGAAAGCGTTAAGAAGCATTTTTGTAGTATTATCGAAATGGAGCAACTCACTGGGTTGAGTGACACGTCCTTCGTTGACCCAATTCATCCTACCATTATTAGAGAGCCATATGTCCTGTATAACCCAAATAGAATCCACGGATATCATAGATAATACTTATTTAAATATTAATCTTAACAGTTGTCATTATAAAAAATTTAATTTAATTTTCAATTTAATCAAACAAAATTAATGAATCCATACCTTTTCTTATCTTTCATTACATGACGAAAGTTTTGCGAAGGCATTGTTGAAACTGACATTTTTTCGCTTACTTCGAGTATTGCCAAAAATTTATCTATAATAAGAATTATTTAAACTATTCAGCATATAATATATTCTCCAAAAAAAAATTAGTTATAATAGAACTGAATAAATTAACCACAACTGTAAATAATAATAGAAAAGAAGAGGATATTAATAAAATACATTTTCAATACTATCCACTATTAAGCTGTTTCCTACAATTAATATTATAAAACTCTTTCTGGCATACTGTAGCCGTTATTAGTTAGATGGAAGTAGGGTCGATTCCGGGGTGTGTCGTTCTGAAATCTTTTGCTGTTACGGTAAATTTGCTGCAAGGTCGATTCCGGCGTGTGATATTCGTGAATGTTTCCTCATTTCCGGATGTGTTATTCTTGAATGTTTCCAGTGTAAAAAATTACAATAAAGGAATAATTCTCGAATGTTCCCCTAGTTCCGGGGTGCATTATTCTTAAATGTTTCCCTAATTCCGGAGTGTATTATTGTTGAATGTTTCCCGAATTCCGGGTTGTGTTATTCTTAACTGTTTCAACGAGGTGTATTATTCTTAAATCTTTTCTAATGTAATGTTTTTAGTTTCTGAATTTCTGGGCTTTTTTAGCTTATTATTGAATTAGACGAAGTCAAATTACAAACAAATTTTTCATTTTATTTTTTCAATAGTAGAATGATTATTTAAACTTATAACTTTATCATAGATTTGGTGCTACTTGCAGTAATCAGTTTCTTTTGCTAATTGTATTACTTTATTTTTTTATGTTTTTTTTTTTTTTTTAAAGTTGTTATGAGTAACTGTGAGAAAGTATCTAATGGAATTAAATTATCCGATAAAGAAATGCATTTCAATTTATTAGTATAAACGTTGATAGATTAATGTTATGAACAAAAAAACAAAAGAAATTTCATTAAAATTTTTGCTGAGATATGAATATATTTGCCATGTACATTCGTATGGATCTCTATGCGTGCATGCATGTGTCTGTACTATTTTTTCTACTTAAATTTTGTGATGTTTTTCTTAAACGTTTCTCTTCATAACTTACATTTCTCTATGGATTTTAATTATGATTTTAGTTTTAGTTTACTATTTTTCCTTTTTTTTTATGGATGAAAAGGAATCTAAGGAATTCAAAGAGGAATAATAGCGGTAATTCGAATAAGCGAAATAATGATAGCATTAGAGAAACGAAAGCTGGTAAAACGACTATTCGAAAAAGTGACAGAAATGTGAAACAAGGGAAAGAGCAGGTTGTGCTAGTGAATTAATTTTCCTCGCTTTATTTATGAAAATATTTTGGTGAAAAAAAAAACGTTTTGTATTTCTCTACCGTATTATTTCGTGAAGTTTGAGAATTAGACCAAATCACGAAATTTTATGTACTTTTTTCACAATTTCTCGAAAGTCTATATTGCATTACATTTTTTTTTTTCAAATATTTTTTGATTGCCTGTAAAGAATGTCAGATTTATTCAGGATCATTAATTTATCATTTTCCAGAAACTTGCTGTTATCACGGTCAATTCCAAAGATGATAAAAATGATCATTCAGATGGTGACGAAACCGATGAAAGTCAGTCATTTGATGAGGGAGAAAATGTTCGGCCCTCGAAACCTCCCAAGGTAATCTTTGAAATCGACACGCTCTTTCAAGTAGATTTAAATCCTTTTTCGGACGATGGAAATAAATTTCGGAGAGAGAGAGAGAGAGAGAAAAAAGTCTTTATAATCGCTTTTGTAAACTAGCTATTAAAAAAGGAAAGAAAAAACAATTTATAAAGATGATTTTGGACATATGAAGAGAAATAAGAAGGAAAAAAGTAACAAACAGTAAATTTAAATTCAAGTTCAACTTTTCAATGAAATTGAACAAAAGCGATAATTCTGGTTTCAGAAACGAACCCGAAGACGCCCACCGGAGAAATATGCTGAATATGCCGCTTATCGAGTAAATAAAAATTATATATTTAATCCATTTTTTTATTCATCCGTTTATAAGTTTGGAACAACTTAATTGAGTGTAATCAAAAGGAATAATTAAAACTACAAAAGCAATGAAGTAGGTCAGTCAACAAGTGAGGGGTCTTGAAAATAGAATTTTCTTTGATTAGAAAGACCGATGTTTAAACTATAACAATTTTCTCCCAATCGAAACAATACGGTAAGAATGTAGTTTATAAGGAGGGAGATTTTATCAGATGCATGTTTTGTTAAGATTTGAACTTTTATCTTCGGCGCTTTTGATGGAATAACGCAATGAATTTGTTGGAAGATGTTTAAATTAAATTTAGAATTGTTACGAGCTTCATGCAAAGGTTGAATTCAAAATACTTTTTAAATGAATTTAAATGAATTCAGCCATTTGTAGGGTCATAAAACAAGTTGGGCAGTACTGTCAAAAACGGAAAAGCACCAACTTGCTGTACGAGCATTTGCGGAAAGCGCTGATGGCACGGTAAAGTGTTTGAATGAAAAATGTACGAAAACTTTGAAGTCTATGGAAGATATCGTTAGCCATGTGGATAAGTGTCTGAAATTACCAGAATATTTCAAATATATGGTAAATTTTTTAGTTTGCTTTCATAACAAAGTGTAAGATGAGATTATTTTAAGTATGACTGATTTCGGATCTTGAAGTCCTATGCAAAATTATGTCAGTTTAATTTAAACTTTAGGTAATATAGGAAACTAGGTTTTTAATTATATATCTGAAAGCTTTTGTCATTATTGAATATTGTAATATTTTGTTGATAGGGTAAGGCTGATGTGTTTCGAGCACTTGATAAAGTCACAAAGGCAAAAATTTTACGGGTTTCAATGAATGCATTGGAAGTTTTGCCATGCTTGAATGTCGAAACATTGAATTGTACACAGAAATACGGGCATCTCTATGCGCTGTCATATCATCTCGAAAGATGTGGTCAAGAAAGGGTACTTTTTAGTAATTCATATCAGCTAATTCTAAATACATAAAATTTCCTGAAATTTTCAATGATTTAAATATTTAAATATGGCTGTGAGGGGATTTAGTAACTTAATATACAACAAAGACGCTTGGTTGTTTAAATTTATGCACTGTGTTCAAGAGGAAAAAAGTAGCAAAATCTGGTAGAAATTGATCGGGTTTGTAAATTTTAGTGGTTTTACAGGATCAGTTACCTTGGAAATGTTGGAAATGCGGCTATGCAACAATCGTAGCAAATGGTCGTGAACATTTAGCCAAATGTACAAATCCGAAAATAGGAGGAAGAGGACAAAGGTTGTCAAAATTTGCAGTTAATTGGAAGTTTTCCATTTTTATGAGTAATCTTCATTAGTAATTTTCAGGTCAGAAGATGAATCATACTCTGAAAATTCAGAAAGTGATGAATTGGATGTGGATACTTCCAAGAAATTCAAAAAAGTATGCTTATTAAAAACTATTTCTATAAGCTTTTTTTTTTAACTTATTCTTTTAGTTGATTGCAGCTGGAATTAGCTCCTGTTTGCTGGATTCTGTTATATTTTATCTGTTTATGGTGGAAGTTAAGGCATATTGTTAAATATTAAAGTAATATTCTTTCCACTCAGCTTCATTTCTCAAAAGAGGATTAAAGTTGCAGAATTGTTGGCATAAATCGTTTGTTTAGCATTTATAAGTGTTTATTCAAATCAAATCCTTCTTTGACAGACTTTATTGCTATTTAAAAAGAGCGTTTAGATTTTTTCTATTCTTATTAATTGTAGAATAGGAAATCCGATAAGCAAAAGATGGCATCAATAGCACAGGAATATTTGCCAGAGAAGAGTTCACGTATGAGAATGACTGATGGAGTTAAGCGATTCAAGTTTAAAAGTGCAAATCTTGAAGGTAGTTTAAAAGATTTTTTGTCACAAAACTTTTTTTGAAGTCATGGCATTTTGTCTAATTGTCGAATCTTTCTCTCTTGGAACTAGATCATCGAGAAACGATCTACTCATTATCCATTATGTAACTTTATCGACTATTCATTTTTATAATGATTTATTGAAAATCTTCAGCAAATGCTCCAACACCTTCTGATTTAATGCAATACCAAGAAACAATCGATCGAGCCAATGAGTTGCTTAGAGCACAGAGAGAAAAGGAATCTCTTTGCGATTTACTTGTCAAATTTGAACATCATCCAAATAATTTCAAGCGTATTGCACCCCGTGATTTTAGGTATGTTATCTTTCTGGTTTCTATATTTTCATTTTACTCTAATATTTTGAGTAGAAAATTTGTGAGGTTTTAAATTTTTACATTTTTTGTTTTAAATTGCAGTGAAGATTTAAATATAATGCTTGATAAGTACTCCATTCCTGTAATGCTTCCTTCCGGCGATAGTGATGAGTGGCAGTCAACATCATCAAATGAAAGGCGAACTTCCGGTGTGAAAAATGTTCGGAAACATCAGGTAGTTGAAGAAAAGCAAAGGTTGCCAGTTTTTGTGCCCAAACCTTTGCACTGCAAGACGAAAAAAGCGTAAGTTAGTAATGACTAATTTTGAATTAAATTAATTTTTAAGTTAAATACCTTAAACGGTTTGCAAAATAAAGTTTATAATTAAGTAGTTTGGTATTCAGCGTATCTTAACATGCATTTCTTTCGGTTCAAGAAAGCAAGTTGGTTATTTGAGTGTTCAGGTAATATTGGCACTTCCGTAATTTCAATCCCATCTATTCTCACTCCGGTATTTTTGAGTTATCAGATGTCTCATGCAGTGTTTTCTCCCTGTCTTCTTTAGAAATGTATTTTCGAATAAATAATTTTAGGCATTTTGTGTTAACTGAAAATAATATACACGAAATTGGTTCTATTGCATACTGTGGAGGACCAATATCAACGATTAAAAGTTGTCCACGAAAACTAGAAGATGGTTAGTTGATTCCGACAGTGGACGTTTCTTAAGGATATTTTTTGTTTTGCAACACTAACATTTTGGGACCAAAAAAAAAAATTAATTTGAATAACTGAATTGAATAAAGGAAATGAATAGTATAAAGTAAACTGTATAAATCAGATGAAATAATTGCTTATGATATACTGTATGATATAGAATTGTCATAAAAAAATTTTTTGCGATATATTTTTATTATATATACCGATTTTATTTCTAACAATGTTTGTGGCTTTATATATATATCATCATTTTTCTCTTCGAAAAATTTAGGTCGTGAATGTGTGGCTGTTACGGTGTTTACTGATGAAGAATATTTGATTTCAAAAGATCGGAAAAATAACACTGATTATGTGCAGTTTTGGTTGTATGACAATAAATCGGAAAGGTATAATTGTCTTGCTGTAATTTGCTATAAAAAGTTGATAAACATAACTATGTAATAATAGTCTGATAATTATATTTTTATTTAATAAAAATAAACTCGAAATTATATCTTTTGTAATAAATTCAGTTTTTATCATTTCAGGATTTCTGCTTCTTTTTGGTTTCTTTTGGAAGTAAATCACAGCACAATACTTTGTACAGCTTGGTGCCCATCGTTGCGAAACTCTGTTAAACACGATAGCAAATTGTCAAATTTTGTTGGTATTCTTGCAGTAGGTGGTATGAATGGTCCAATTTCGCTCTACGGGTTAGTGATTTTGCTTCATCACTGTTATCTTTTATGTGCAAGGTGGAATTTGATAAATTTGATACTTTAATTCTATTCTGTTTCATTTCATTTCCAGTTCCAGTCTTTTGTTCAGTTTCTATTCGAGTTATACAGAATTTTTGTTTAAGCTAAGTGTAAAAGTTTTGGGGACAAGGAGAATGAGGAAATGTTACCAGTAAGAAGAAAACATAGATCGCACGCAGTAAGCTTGCTTTTATAAGTAATACAATAATTTTAATTCAGGATTCCTAGTTACACAGATTATTCATTATTTCTACTATATTTGGAGCTTAAACAAATTTCAAGGGATTAATTTATATTTATATGTACTTATAAAATTTAGATTCAATTGTAAAATTTTAGTATACGTAGTGATATACCAATTCCTTCAATCAATAATAATAACCCATTGGTATATCGTTGTTCTAAACCTGATCTAATTCTTTGTTGTCCTGATTGTTGTAACAATATACCAATCATTTCAATTGCTTGGAGTGAAAAAGGTGGTTCTAATAAATTGGCATCTGTTTCTGCATCAGGTACATATCATACAGTTTTTATATTTTTGCAAACTTTTAATTTTTTTTTTAAGACTTAGTTTTAGTAAGATTTAGTTTTTAAGATTTGAATAAATAAGATAGCAGCATTATGCTGAAATTGAAGGGAATCAAAACTGTGTGAGAAATATATTTCTAAATCCATTTTGTTTGGTATTATTATTATTAGCCTTCAGATGAATATTTCTTAACAAAATCTTCTTTCAATATATACATATATATTTAGTAAATGGAAAATTTTTAACATTGGATTTTAGTTGATGTTATCTTGTGCATAAATTGATAAATATATTAATGGAAGAACTTTGATGAAAATATTAAAGGTCATGTATTAATTTGGGATTTGAATGAGAGTACAACATCAGCAAAAATCATATATGATACTGAATGGTTATCTCCTCCTTTGAGTGTTGTTTTCTGTGGAATGGGACAATGTAAGTTTTGTCAAAAAATTCTCTAAAATCGAATTGCTGAAAATCGACATTTCATTTTTCTCAGTAATTTTTCATTCTATTTATTAATGATTGTTTTTTTCTTTTTTTTTATTCATTTCATTTTAGTAGCTGTATCATTCCGAGAAAAATTAATTAGAATATATGATTTGACCACACTAACATTTGTGATTGAAGAAGGTGCACAAAGAACAGCTGGAATGCAGGTATATTTTATGTAAATTTTATATTTTCGTGATTTTTTTATTTCAATTCGAAAAATTCAAATCATCTAACAAGGTTCTTTCTAAATATTCCAATTATAGGTTTATTCACGCGAGGGACTTTTCAATGGTATATTTAGCTATCAGCAGGATTTTACTCTTAGTGGCATGCATCTAACTTGCGGTACATGTTACATTGTACTAGGCTCATCAAAAGAGAATTTCTTCGTTGTTCCACTGGCTAATAAGTTTGTATTTATTAAATGTAAAATGCTTGTGGTAAATGAGCTTATGAATTTTGAAAAAAAGTAAATTTTGAAACAAATATTATAATTTGATATCAAAACAAACTAAATTTCAATTCTAAATAATCCACTTAAACTTTTTTCACATGTGAAATAAAATGATAGATTTCTGCTAATCGATTATTTACTATTTAGTTTTAAATTTCCTTTCTTTTTTTCTTGAATTTAGGCATGAAGTGCAACTCTGGGATATGTGTATTTGTCCAAAGACAGGCGCAATAATATCAGCTGGAGCAGATGGTCGTCTTCAAGTCTCTCTAAATGGCCGCTTAGCTGCTATTCGATCGGAAAAAGATTTTGTATTTAATGCATGCCGGGTTGTCCTCACATTAATGAGGAAATCTGAAGAAGTACCATTGGCGAAGGTATATTTTACGATAGTTTTAAGAGAAAGTTTTTCTGGATTTTTTTTTTCTTTCGATGACAGATATCAAATCTAAATTTATCCCAAATGAAAATATTTTTTTTGCGATGTTGGAATGGAGAAGACATAAAAAGTTCCACATATTTCATCACAGAGAAAGAAATTTTGAATTTTGACTTGTGAAACATTTGATCATTTTATTAAGTGTAGTTGATTTAAATTAGTTTTTTTTTTTTGTCTTCGAAAACATTTCTTAAGGATACTGCTTAATCTTGATCAGCTATCTTCATTAGGCCGTTGTACCACCTTTAAATGATGATGTCAATGCCGATGATAGTGCCGAATGTGAAAATGAAGCGAGATTTCCTCCACCTCAGACAAATTTACAGTTGTGTGCTGAAAAGTCGCATCTCGAATTTTGTTTTGAGGATATTAAAGTATATTAATTTTTGCATATTTAGTAAAATCTAATAAGAGTAAAGGCGATCTTCTTGTAAATTTATAAAATCTTAGTTATGGGAATTTGTCTGAGTGATTAAAACTAGAATTTGAACCGAAATATTTAACAATTGCTACGAGCACTTCGTTATCACTGTAATAGAAATTAAGGAAGTTTACCTGTTAATTAGTTTTATTCTGTAAAAGAAGAGTAACATGTGACTTCATACTTGTTAGGGTTGTGAAAGAGCTGTTTAATGAGTTTTATTTTATTTTTTTCTTTTTATAGTCGTTGATGTAACTTTAGGATCCAGTTTTTAAATCTTATTTTTGTAACTGCTGCTATAAATGAAGTTTTTTACATGAATATCACCGAAGTTACTCTGTTTTTATTTTAATGCACAATTAGTTACTTCTTCAATATATTAATTTAAATGAAATACTAATCTTTTTGTCTTCTTCAAATCAAGTTTTCTTTTTTTTTTAGATTGGTAAAACTGCCATATCACAGTTTAGCTTAGATCTTCGTACGGAATCACTAAATCGCTTAGCTGTTAGTGAACCATCCGGAAAGTTGGCAATTTGTGGTGGTGAAGCTGGCCTTCTGATCTTCATTCCTTGTTTTTTGCGATGATCCATGATTTTTTTTCTTTACTTTCAAAATTTTTTAATATTAGTAAATAGTTTTGAACGTAGTAGATTGATTTCATTTTGCTTTAGTCTTGTTATTGTCATTTGTTGCTTATAGTAATAGTAATAACATTATTTTGTACTCACTTTGTAGTTATCATTGTCATATCATTTGTGCTAAACGATTTTTTAGCATTTCGAAAAGTTACTTTTTTTTAATTGCCCAAATAAATTGATAAAACAAGTTTTGCTTTTCACATTAATTTCATGTAATGATGTTGCTGTAAACATATAATTCGTTTTTCTTAGGAAGTGAATTCGTTTGAAAAAAAAAAATGATTTTTTTGAGTAATAAAATTATCCGTTTGGAAAAATATACTTTAGCCAGAAAACAGAAATTGTTAACAAATAGCACACATTCATAATAGAATTCATTCACATTCCATTAAAAATAAAAAAAAAATATTTTAACATGCATGAAAATAAATGGTTTAGCCCAGCTAGCAGCTGCAAAGAGTTTTCTTCGTTTTTTTTATTTTCAAAATTCTGATAGCTTAATTAAATAGATTAAAGTGCTGTTTGAATTCTTATTTTAAGTACAAAAAGAGCTTTAATTAGTATTATCGATTCATATTAGAAATGCAAATATTAAATTTTCAAGTCTTTTCATCAAAATCATCCTCCTACCATCATAGTTTGAAAATAATTGATTAAATCATTAAAATAAAATTAGTTTTTGAAAAGAAAAATTCTTTTAAAATATAAATGATTGGATTATAATTTACAATTTGGCAAAATAATTCTTCCATTTTATTTTTTATTATTTTTCCAATAAATGATAATATTTCGATGTTTTTTTTTTTTTTTTTCAAAAATATATCATTACATTATACTTTTTTGTTTTTAAAAGAAAATTTTATCGAAAATACTTGAATTTTCTTTTTTTCGTTGTTTTGTGAATTGTTTTTTGCCGGAAATTATTGATTTACTAATCGAGGAAGAGAAGATTTAACTGATAAAATTGATAAGATTAGAAGAAATATTCATTTATACTTTCAAAATTATTCGAAAGATAATTGTAATAGGATATATTGATAAGATATTTATGAAAGAAATATGTTGGATTATTTGTAATTTAGTATTATAAATAATTTTTTTATTTCTAAAACATTTTATAAAATGTTCCGATTATTCCCTTACTGATACTGATATTATAGAAATGATAAATAGTTGACAATTAACAATGATAGATGTGACATTTTATTCAAATTTATTTCATTTCTATTAATTTTTCAATAATTAAATTTTATTTATCGAGAATATTCGTTCATATTATTAATTAATTATGCAAAAATTTATAAAATAAGCAAATTGAAGAAAACGAAATTACTCTATTTGATAAATTATTTATTTCAGTAATCTGCCAGAAAATAAATTAAGTAAGAAATGAAGGGAAGACGAAAAGTTAAATAGTTTCATTGAAAAATGTAATTGATATATGTTGAAAATATAGCAAATTAATTTATTATTTTCTATGATTTTACAAAAAATAAAAATAAAATTTATTCCCAAAAATTCAAAAACTTAATGCTTTATCATTTTTTAAAAAAAATGAAAAAAAAGATTACTTTTTTAACAACAAAAAACCAAGAAAAATTTGATGGAAACTTTAATTAATTTTAATTTCAATAGAAGAAAAATGAATGAGTTGTAGAAATTTTAGAAGAAAAACAAGAAATATTTTAATTCATTTAAAATTATTTTCAAAGAAAAAAGAAAACAAAATAATAAAAAAGCAAAATGTTTAAATAAAAGGAAACTAGTTATTACTGATAATTGATTGTGTATTGAATGAAATAATTAATTACACGTGTAGGTGAATACACGTACGTAAGTCTACGTTATTATTTATGATTATTTTATCTTTATTCACTATCTTTTATGCATATCTTATGTATATCTTTAAATTATAGATTAAAAATTCATGCTATATACTTTCAAAATATATTATTTATCATTGTTATCTTATCTTTTCCATTCTATCATATTACATAGACCATGTTTACGTGATATCCATTTTATCACTGTAATCAGTCTTATCAATTCGTTACTATCTATCATATATTACAGCTTGTGTATACATATCTTTAGATTATATTTCAGAAATTTAGATTATGTATCAAAGATTATATATCAAAAAATTTTAATAAACATTTTAAAAATGGTGAAATTTTTGATTATCATAAATTTTCAATGAAATGATAAGTTAAAGAAATGATAAGTTAGAAATGATAAGTTAAAAGTGATAAATTAAAGAAACGATAGGTTAAAAATGATAAGTTAGAGAAATGATAAGTTAAAATGATAAGCTAGAGAAACGATAAGTTAAAAATGATAAGTTAGAGAAATGATAAGTTAAAATGATAAGCTAGAGAAATGATAAGTTAAAAATGATAAGTTAGAGAAATGATAAGTTAAAACGATAAGTTAGAGAAATGATAAGTTAAAACGATAAGTTAGAGAAATGATAAGTTAAAACGATAAGTTAGAGAAATGATAAGTTAAAAATGATAAGTTAAAGAAATGATAAGTTAAAAACTTTTTCTAAGCGTTTTAAGAATGAAAATTTCCTCCGTAACAATGTTTCTTCATTTTTTTACAAAAATTTTCTTTCTGTTAGTTTAATTTTAATTTTAGCAATTATTTAGGATAATGAATTTAGCATGAAATGATATACCAACTGTTGGTTGAATAGTAGTACTTTTAATAAATGTTTAATTTTTTTTAATGTACATATACAAATTTATATGCAAAGAGAGAGAGAGAGAGGGAGAGAGAAAGAGAGGGAAGGAGGGAGAGGGAGAGAGAGAAAAGAGGAGGAAAAGTTTTAAGTAAGAAGGAGTAATGAAAAAAAGAAATATATTTATACATTTTTTTTTTCTCATTTCCAAATTATATTTTGTGAATTTAACAATACAAGAATTATCGTTTCTAATTTTTGAAAAAAGAAAAATTTAAAAAGAGAAGAAGAAACAAAGAGGGGGAGAGAGAGAGGGAGGGAGAGAGAGGAGTGGGAGAGAGAGAAGGCGAATAAAAATTAATAGGAGAAAAGGAGGATAGAAGTTATTTTTACAAAAAAAAAGTGATATTACGACGATGATATTTTCGTATATCAGTATTGCTTACAATTTTTCATTATTCTTGTAAGAGGAATAGGAGAGAGGGACAGACGGACAGGCAGAGAGAGAGAGGGAGAGAGAGGGAAAGAAAATAAATTTTTTTTGTTCTTTCCGAAATCTTTTTTTGCTATTCTTTTCTTTAAATTTAGCATATTTCATACATATATCAATGTATGTGTGTATGTGTGTGTGTGTGTGTGTGTGTGTGTGTGTGTGTGTGTGTGTGTGTGTGTGTGTGTGTGTGTGTGTGTGTGTGTGTGTGTGTGTGTGTGTGTGTGTGTGTGTGTGTGTGTGTGTGTGTATGTATGTATGTATGTATGTATGTGTGTGTGTGTGTGTGTGTGTATGTATGTATGTATGTATGTGTGTGTATAATATATCATCAAACTATTTGATAACTTTTTTATCCTTCTTCTTTTTTTCTTTAATTAACTTTAACTTTTTATCTTATTTTATCATTCATTCATTCATTCCCCTCCCTCCTCTCTCTCTCTCTCCCTTTACTAAAAGAGAGAGAGAGAGAGAGAGAGAGATTTATTTTCTTGGCTTTCTAAACTATTAGCTAGAAGAATCTCGACAAGTAACAGCTGTTAGTATGTGTGTAAAGAGGAACTTTTAACCGGAAAGATATAAGAATACCAACGAAGTAATAAGTAAGCAATTGCAAAAGCAAAAATTCCATTTGGCTGTAATAAACGGAATTCTATCCTTCTTATCCGAGAAAAGATTGTCTTCTCTCTATTTCTGCTATTTTTATTATTTCTTTCTTTACTTATTTATTTACTCATTGTTTACTTATTTATTTGCTTACTTATTTGTTTACTCATTTATTTACCTATTTACTTATTTATTTATTTACGTACTTATTCATTTATTTATTTATTTACTCAATTATTTACTTGTTTATTTACTTACTCATTTGTTTACTCATTCACTTTACTTATTTATTTATTAACTTAATTATTTATTTACTTACTTAGTTATCTATTTACTTATTATACTTGTTTATGATTTACTTGTTTGATTCATTACTTATTCATTCATTCATTCATATTATTACTATTATTGTTGTTGATAATGATAAAAATAGCTCGATTATTTCCATCTCGTCCATATTTGTGTATTTTAATTCCTTCGCTTCCTCTTTTCATCACTTATTACCTACCACTATTATTATTATTATTATTATTATTATTATTATTATTATTATTATTATTATTATTATTATTATTATTATTATTATTATTATTATTACTATTATTGTTGTTACCATTATTAATGTTGTTGCTATTAATGATAATAATAATAATAATAATAATTGATGAAGAAAAATTATTAAATGAAAGAAATTTACTAATTTAAAAATTTCTATTCGTCATTTCAAAATTTTATGTTTAAATGAGAAAAGAATGGATGAATGATTGAAAAGATGAGAAAGAAAGAAGAGGAAGAAAAAAAAAGAAAACAAGAGAAAATTTAAAATGTTGATAAAATATATCACTGATAGCAACAATTCATGAAATACACACACACACACATACACATACACATACACACACACACACATACACATACACATACATACATACACACATGATATACTATTATTATCATTGTAAATCATCGTATCCGCTGCAGTTGTTTTAGCTCATCCCACTGATCTTTCATATTTTGTTTTAAAAATTTCCTCGAAAATTTGTATTTTTCGTTTCGTTACATTACGTTTCATTTCATTTTTGTTTTTTTTTTTTTGTTTGTTTTTTTTTTCTCAAATTGCAAAATTTATTTTTTTCTTTTTTAGCCAGAAAACTTATTTTTGATATTT